GCTGAGAATGCAGCCATAGAGAGGGGGCTTGACCCAGAAGACTGGACTAAAAGGTATTTGAACTATTACATCTCAGTGTTTGTTGTTTTTATATACTAACTGGAATTGGCCCACTTTTTTGGTGCTAGGTTAGACCCTGTCTTGACTTTACAAATGTAGACCGTGCCTGCAAACAAATGAATGGCTGTCTAAGGGAATTCAAACAGTTCTTTAAAATGAATACTGGCATTGCCATTTAGTCATCATTTATAGTTGTCAAAAACACAATAAGCCACAAAATGCTCTGAATTACAATTAAATTCTAAAATTGCATGTAAGTAAACAAAATACTAAATGGAAAGTTTTACCTTTTAGCCGTTTAATTCAGACATATTTTGTATTTTTATATTTCTTATCTTTAATTTAAATTGACTCAGACATCCCACCGATGCTGGAGAATCTGGATTTTCTTTTCTTCTTTCTGTCACTGCAGTGAGTTTCTCATCTCGAGCTGACAGATTACATGCTCCGGTTTCTTCTTTTTCCTTCAAGTCTTTTTTTCCTACCAATTTTTTGTCCAAAAGATATTCAGAACCTCCGTTATTTCAGCCAGAGCATCGCTTTTTCTTATTATGTGTTTTTTTAAACCGTGCTCACAGAAACACTTTGGAAACGTTTGCCTTTTTCCAGCTTCCTCTTTGGACACAATTGTTTCAGTTTCATCAGTCAGATTTTCGCCTAATTTTTTGCCTTAGTTGTCCAGACGTCTCTTTTGCAACACGTCACCGCTCTCTCTGCTTCACCTGGAGGTAAACCTGTCTCCTTATAGAGAAAATGGAGGCATGGCAGTATGCAGATTATATGCGGTCAGCACAAACCTGTTGGTTCAGAATGATTTAGTAACGTCTGCACAGTAGTAAGAACAAAATAGGCTGGTGTGTGCATGTTTCATAACTCCAAAGGTAATTTTGCTAAATGAGGGCTATTGTCATGTTCAAGAAACCAGTTTGTGGTGACGGAGGTTTTGTGATATGGCCTGATATCCTGCTAGAAGAAGCTATTAGACGATGGGTGCACTGTTGTCATAAAAGATGCTCAACTGATATTAAAGGTCCTAAAGTATGCCCAAAGAAAAAACTCTTCCACAGCATTACACCACCAGAAACCTGAAGCTTTGGTGGAAGGCAGAACAGATCCATGCTTTCATGTTGTTTGTACCAAATGCTGACCCTACCATCTAAAGCAGCAGAAATTAAGACTTAACAGACCAGGCAACATTTTTACAATCTTCTGTTGTCCAAATCTGGTGAGCATATGCCATCTGTAACCTCAGTTCCCTGTTCACAGCTGACAGAGTGGCACTGGATGCAGTCCTCTGTTGCTGTTGCTGATCAATTTAGCTGATTAAATATTTGTGTTGAGCAGTTGAAAAGGTGTACCTAACAAAGTGGCCCATGAGTGCAGTATATCCTAACTCTAGCGCCGTTCCTCTCGCTTCAGTAACATACAGTCTATGCGGGAGCAGCTGGACACGCTCGGGCTTTGCTTCAACTGGGACAGGGTAAGCAGCATGTGATGATGAGCTGAGCATCAGACAGAGTTTTGGCAGCTCTCAGGCCCATTTGCTCCCCTTTGAGTCTGATTCTCACTTTCCTGACAGGAAGTGACCACTTGCCTCCCAGACTACTACAGGTGGACGCAGTATCTATTTATCAAGCTCTTTGAAGCGGGACTGGCATACCAAAAAGAGGTATTAATCGTATTTGCGCTCTG